TAGCATATTGTCTTCCGGATTCATCCATATTGTCACAAATAGCAGAATTTCCTTCTTTATTCAGGCTGAATAATGTTTCTGTGTGTGCATGTGTGTGTGTATGTGTGTGTGTGTGTGTATAAAATCACATTTTCTTTATCTATTCATCCATCAGCAGATACTTAGGTTGTTTCCATATCTTGACTATTGTGAATAATGCTGCAATGAATATGGGAAATAGTGATTCAAAATAGTGATTGTATTTCCTTTGGATATAGTCCCAGAAGTGGGATTGCTGGATCATATGGTAGTTCTATTTTTATTTTTCGAGGAACCTCTATACTGCTTTCCATAGTGGAGTGTACCTCAACACAATAAAAGCTGTCTATGACAAACCCACAGATAACATCACACTCAGTGGAGAAAAGTTGTAAACTTTTCCTCTAAGAATCAGAAACAAGATTCAGATACCCACTCTCACCACTTATCAGCATTGTACTGGGAGCCCTAGCCTGACAGTTAGGCAAGAAAAAGAAATAAAAGGCATCCAAATCAGAGAGGAAGAAGTAAAATTCTCCCTGTTTGAAAACCCTGAAGACTCTACCAAAAATCTGTTAGAAATAATAAACACTTTGAGCAAAGCTGTATCATATAAAATCAACTTGTAAACATTAGCTGCGTTTGATACACTTAGAGTGAACTATCCAAACGAAGAAGAAAGTAGTCTAAGTTACAATAGCATCAAAAAGAATAAAACACATGGGAATAAATTTAAAGAAGGAGGCGAAAAGCTCTGTACACTGAAAACTATAAAACATTGATGAAAGAAATCGAAGACATGAATAAATTGAAAGATATCTTGTGTTCATGGATTAGAAGAGTCAATATTGTCAAAGTGTCCTTAGTAGCTATACCAAATCTCAATATGGGACCCATGTATCAAGGGTGCAGGGAAAGAATCAGATGCCAGATCTTTAGAGGAGATCACATACAGTTACAGGTTGTAAGATAGGGTAAAACAGAAGAGTGCCTTCATCTTTTCATTAGGGATGCTGTCTCCAGTGAATATAGTTTATCAGTGGCTCAGACCAACCATATTAATGTTTAAGAGATGGAAATAAACATGAAAAAGGGTTTAGCAGAAACAGATTGAAGAAAAAACAAGAGATGAATATTTTATACAAAATTATTAAAATAGTATGATTTGTTCAAAGATTCTGTTTTTTTATTTTTAAAAATTTTTGTTGATACATAATATTTCTACCTATTTATGGGGCACACATGATATTTTGTTATGTGGATAGAGCCTGTAATGATCAAGTGAAAATATTTGGGATCTCTACCACCTCAAGTATGTATCATTTCTATGTGTTGGAAACATTTCAAGCCCTCTCTTCTAGCTATTTCGAAATATACAATAAATACATTGTTGTTAACTGTAGTCACTCTTTTCTGCTATCAAACATTGGAACTTATTCCCTGTATCTGGTTGTATGTTTATATTACTTAACCAAGGTCTCTTCATCCTCCCTCCCACCCACACACTCTTCTCAGTCTCCTCTTATATATTATTTTATTCTCTACCTTTATGAGATCAACTTTTTTAGCTTCCACACGTGAGTGAGAACGTGTGATATTTGTCTTTCTTTGCCTGGCTTATTTCACTTAATATAACTATCTTCAGTTTCCTCCATGTTGCTGAAAATGACATGATTTTATTCTTATTTATGCCCAAATAGCATTCCATTGCTTATACATACCACATTTTCTTTATCCATACATCTGTTGATAAAAACTTAGGTTGATCCTGTATCTTTGTTATTGTGAATAGTGCTGTGCGGTAAATGTGTAAATGGTAGTATGCCTTTGATAGACTGACTTTCTTTCCTCTGGATAAATACCCAGTAGTGGGATTACTGGATCGTATGGTAGTTCTATTTTTAGCTTATTCAGAAATCTCTTTACTGTTTTTCATAAGAACTGTAATTGGTTAATATTCTATATGGGAATAAGCCATTATCTGGGATTATCTTTTCTAATAGTTGAAAAGTATATGAATTTATTCTGGTCAGAAATCTGCAAAGTAATAAAGGACTTCACTATGCCTAGGACCTTTAATCAATATTAAATAGTTGTATCAAATAAAGTACATTCCCCTTATTATCCTTAGGTGAGTTTGTTAACTAATGTACCTATAGGACATTGAAAAAATATATTGCCCTACTTTTAGTCTTATTTTCAAGCTTTGACTAACTTTATTTAACACTTCGCAGCAAAATATGATTTACACCACAATTCCCAGAGATGCTTATGATAGCTGTCAATTTTTGTTCATAGAAAGAGACAAGATGATAAAGTTGTCAGTTCTCTACAAGGCAATCTTTAAAATCAGTCTAATTTCATTAACACTCCAATAAGTATTTTCATATTATTTGGCAAATAAACCCGAAATTAATTAGTAAGAGCAAAGGTTCAAGAATAACTCAGGCATATTTGGAGGTAATGAACCATTTTAGGGGAATTTCCTATGAAATGTGAAAACTATGAATAGTTACAAAGCTTTATTAGCTAAGACAATATAGTATTAATGTGGAGATAGAAGACACATAGAACCTATAGAGAACCCAGAAACATGTCAATGTGCATTTGAGAACTTGAAGTAGCACTACAAATCAGTGAGGGAAAAAGGAACTCTTTATTACATGTTGTTAGGCTAATTGTTTATACACTTAGAAAAAATAGATTGCTAACATATATTATCATAAAAAATAATTCCCAAGTGAATAATTACCTGAGTGCAGAGAAGCAGAATGTTTAAACAATTAGAAGTAAATATAGAATGTTTTTATAATCTTTGGGCAGGAAGTGATTCCATAAACAAAACACAAAAATATCTACTTACTGATATGATTATATTTTTAAAAATAATTCTTTTCAAAACCACCATATTTCAAAATTCAAAATGGAAAAATATAGCATAAATACATAATAAACTCTCACCCCACACCCAATTTTACCCAACACCCAATTTTACCCAACACCCAATTTTATCAAATCTTAGAACTGTGCTATATATGTGTCATATTTTTTCTAAAGAAATACATTATTAAAAAGTTGAAATTCCTTTATTATTTGTCTCAAGACAAATGTAAAAAGACAATCTATAGATTTGGTGAAGGTATTTGCAACATGTTTAAGAAGGTATTAATATATAGGATATATAAAGACATCTTTTATAAATCAGTAAGTAAAAAGATACTCAACCCAACAATAACAACAAATAGGTAAAGGAAATGATCTGACAGTTTGTAGAAGTAGACCGATGACTTACAAACATGTGAAAAAATGTTCACCCACACTAGTAATGAGAGAAATGCAATTAAAATTACATTGTAATATCATTTTCCACCTACATGATTGGCAGTACTTAAAGGATATGAACATCCTGAAGATGTAGAGATTTGTCAATGTCTAATAAAGTTGAAATTGCCAGTATTTGACTTAGGAATTTCATTTCTAGGGAAATATCCTGGAGAAACTTACTCCTGTGTAAGGTGGCATGTATGAAGTTGGTTATTATAGCAGTGTTTATAATAGCTAAAGTTGAAAACAACACTGTTGTCCATCTGCAAAACAATAGATAAATATATTTTGGTATCTTTATAAAAGATAATACTATATACTTATTAAAATGAATTAGCTAGAATTACATTTAATAAAGCCATAGATAAATCTGAAATATATTGTTAAGTGAAGTGAACTAAGTTGTAAAAAGTGAGGTATACTTCATAATTTTTGAAAACATACAAATATATACATGTTGTGCCTATTCACACATACATATTGTTTCTATTTCAAAACAATCAATAGAATATTTAAGCACTGCAATTAGTATGCAATAGTATGGTGGTTACCTCTGTAGAAGCAATGAAGGGAATAAAATTTGAGACAAATAATAAAGGAATTTCAACTTTTTTATAATGTATTTCTTTAGAAAAAATATGACACACATATAGCACGGTTCTAAGATTTGATAAACTTGGGTTTTGGGTAAATGAGAGTTTATTATGTATGTATGCTATATTTTTCCATGTTTGAACTATTTTATTATGAGGAATAAAAAATGGTATGTACAAAACATATATATAAATTTAAAAGTAATATACACTAAACAATATTAATACCATATACTGTTCATAAGAATAAGTGAATAAGAAAATATACACATATATACACACAAACACACACACAAGCATTAAATATTTGTAGTGTACAATTTAAATAGGAAGGATTCCCTGTAATTCCTAGTGATGTGTTTCCTTAGGGATGACAGGTGTGATGAGAGACTAGGTATTAGACCCAAAGGGTATTTCAGCTGAATCAGTGATGTTTTATATACACCAATTAATTAAAGACACAAAGTGATGTAAATATGTCATACATTCACAATTATCAGTTTTTTGTGATAGGAATATAGATGTTTGGTAAACAGGCTCTTGCCATTTAGTGTTGCTCATTTCTGTTCTTTGAAATAGTCTGCTTAAAACATTAAGCATTTGACTAAGATCTGAAGCCTGTACAGTCATCCCTTGGTATCCACAGGAGATTGGTTCAAGGACCCTTGTGGATACCAAAATCTGTGGATGCTCAAGTCCCTATTATAAAATGAGGTAGTATTTACATATCATTTAAACACATCCTTCTGGTATACTTTAAGTCATTTTTATATTATTTGTAATATCTAATACACTATAAACAAAAAATAAATAATTGTATTGCTTTTTAAATTTGTACTTTTTGATTATTGTGTTATCTTTTATTTTTTCCTGATATTTTAGATTCATAATTGGTTTAATCCATGGGTATGGAACCCGTGGGTACAGAGGCCTGCCTATATATAAAAGACAAATTTTGGATCAATAAGAATATCTCAAAAATCAAGTATTTTGTCAATTCTCTTATTATAAATGGTAAGACATTATCAGATAAATTAATCGTGGGTAATTTTTTTCTTCCTAAAGAATAAAGGTCAATGACCAGATTGTAGAAGTGGATGGAACCAGCTTGGTCGGTGTCACACAGAATTTTGCTGCAACAGTTCTCAGAAACACTGAAAGCATTGTTAGGTAAATATTCATATATGTGCAATATAGTTACTTTATAGTTGGTTACTTTATAGTTTATAATTGGTTTATAGTTTATAGTTTATAATTGGTTACTTTATAGTTTGTTAGATTTTCATGGTCTATAGTTTACCCTATAAATACAAATATATGTAATTACAACGACAGTTTTATGCGACTACTAAAAACTTGTCTTCAGTTTTTCATTTTTCTTTCTTTATTACAATTTACATTCCATTCCAATGTAAATGGAATTTTAAATTAGATATCCTAGAATTCTAGAAAGATTTGAAGACAAGTGAGAATACAGTATGAATCAGAATGGGTAATTACTGATCTGTGTGAGTACGCCTTATTGCTAATACAATAAGAATTGCTAGGAAGGTAGAATTTCTAGTTATGGCCTCAATAAATGTAAATTAAGTCCCAAATTCTTTTAATAAAACCATTATACAATAAATTGAAGTGATTATATACATATTTAATGATACATATTATTTAGTACTGAATGATTTGAATATAAGTACATTTTAAAAATCTACATATTGTTTTAAAGAATCAGCCAGGGACCAAGCACAGTGACTCATGTGTGTAATTCCAGCACTTTGTGAGGCCAAGGTAGGATTGCCTGAGGCCAGGAATTTGAGACCAGGTGGGCAAAACAGCAAGACCCCATCTCTACAAAATAATTAAAAATTAGCCTACATGGTAGTTCATGTCTGTAGTCCTAGCTACTCAAGGAACTGAAGCTGGAGGATTGCTTGTGCCCAGGAATTTGAGGTTACAGCGTCCTATGTTCATGTCCTGGTATTCTAGTCTAGGAGACAGAATGAGACCCTGTTTATTAAAAAATAAAAATAAAAAAAGAATCAGCTAGGACCAATGTGTTATTAACTATAACTTTTCCAACTTAATGGAACTTAGGGTGCATTCTTTCAGACCTTGAAATTTATATCTAACCCTGTGGTTGTGAATATTGTAGGTTGGAAAACAAATAAGAAGGCAGTCCTGGCCAAATGAAGTCAAAGTTTGAATGATTTAATGAGTGGGGGAGATAAACCTATGGAATTTTTCTTACAGGTTAAAGGAGAAAAATCATTTGCTTATCTAAATAGATATAGATTAAAAAGCATAACTCTCAGGAAACTTGAAATAGGAAGAATTAAAACTCTTTATTCACAGATGATATGGTCATTTATATACAGATGACTGTAGAAAATCCTAAGGAATCTATTAAAGATGCTACTAAACTAATAACTGAGTCTAATAATGTTGTGGGAGACAAGGTTGATGTATAAAATCAAATTCTATGTAATATCAACAGAAATAATTAACAATTTAGATTAAAAATAACATTTATGGCCAGACATGGTGGCTCATACCTGTAATCTGAGTTACTCAGGAAGTTAGGCAGGAGGATTGCTTGAAACTGGAAGTTTGAAATTAGCTTGGGCAACATAGTGAGACCTTGTATCCACACACACAAAAAAAAAAAAATTAAAAAAATTCGCTGGGCATGGAGATGTGAGCCTATAGTCTCAGCTACTCAGGAGACTGAGGCAGGAGGATGGCTTGAGCCCAGGAATTTATGAGGTTACAATAAGCTATGATCACATTGCTGCACTCCAGTCTGGGAAATAGAATGAGTGAGACCCTATCTCAGAGACCCTATCTCTTAAATAAAAAATTTTAAAAAACATTAAATACTTAAGGATAAATCTAACAATATATGAAGATTTCTATACTTAAAAGAAGAAAAATTGCCTAGAGAATATGAAGACAACCTAAATGAGGGAAGAAGTAGACCATGTTCATGGATCAGAATACCCAGTATTGTTAAGATTTTCCTAAATTAGTCTGTAGATTAACCATAACCCCAATGAACATCTCAACAGATTATTTTGTAGAAGTTATTGTTTTATAAAAAGAATAAAGTTGGGGTACGTTCCCTGCCTGAAAGCTACACTAATCAAGGCAGGCTAATTTGGGCATAAGAATAATAATATAGATTAGTGGAACAGAATAGAAATTTATAATATAGAGCTGCACAGATGTAAAGAATTGCTTTTTTTTACAAAGGCATCAAGGTATTTCAGTGGAAGAGATTATAGTCTTCTTAAAAAATGGTGCTAGAAGCTGGATAAAAATAAAAATTGGATCCAATAAAAATTGGATAGTCTCATTAAAAACAAAACAAAGCAAAAACAAACCAAAAAAATAAATAATTATTTATAATTATAATTATACAAATATATGATATATTATAATTATGTAAATACATATTTATATCTATTTATATTTATTATTTATTTATTTAACTGCCATGATTTGCATCTCACACTGTATATAAAAATTAACTCAAAATTAGCCACAAGCCTAAGTGTGGCAGCTAAGAATAAGATTTCTAGAAAATAGGCACAAATCTTTATGATCTTGGGTTAATCCAAGATTTTTTAGGACACCAAAGCAAGAAGTATAAGAGGAAAAAATGATAAAACTGCATCAAAATTTAAAACATTTGTTAAAAAAAATACCTTTAAGAAAATGAAATAGCAAGTCACAAAATGAATATTTGTAAAACAACTTTCTGATAAAGGACTGTTATTTAGAAGATATAAAGAACTCTTATAATTGAATAAGGTTATTATAATAACTTTATAATGGGGTTTTACTTCAACTTTAGCAAAAATGTACAAATCACTTAAAGAGACAGTTCACCAAAGAAGGCACATAGATAAGCACATGAAATGCTATTCAACATCATTAATTGTTAGGTGAATGCAAATGAAATCCACAATGAGGTACTACTACACACCTATTACAAAGGCTGAAATTTAAAAGATTGACAAGCATCTGTACCAGCTTTAACATTTATTCATTGCTTATAGGAATGCAAAATAGTACAGCCACTTTGCAGACAGTGTGACTGGTTTTTGTAAAGTTAAAAGTACACTTATTGTATCAGCCAGCAATTCTACACGTGGCTATTTACTCAAGAGCAATAAAAGCACCTATCTATACAAAGACTCATACTTGTGTGTTGCTTGGAGCTTTATTCATAATAGCTAAAAACTGGAAGTATTATATTTCATTATTTTTGACTTTTTACAAAAAATTGTATAACATTCTCTTTATCTGGACCTTTTTCTTATTCAAACATGGATTTGTAATATAAATTTTGAAATGTCATATTTTCTTTAGCAAGCAGGACCTTGCCTTGTTTACCACTGGCATAGTTGGTGTACCTATTGTTGCATAATATATTACTCTAAAATTTAATGACCTGAAACAATAAACTTTTATTACTTTTTGTTTTCTATGATCTACTTCTCAGCTAGCTCATGTGGGCTTGTCTACAGGGATGCTTCACAACATGGAAAGTGGCTTCTCTAGAGAGAGTTATCCAAGAGAGAGTCCAAGATGGAATCTGCCATCTTTTTATAATCTAAAATCTGAAGTGAAACCCTATCAGTTCTGTATTTTATTTGATAAAAGTAGGTTGTTTAAGCATTTTAACCTCTAATTACTATTAGCAAACTTTAGTGTAAGTGACTGAAGATACATTTACTGCCACTTGTTCAGTAGAATTAAGTTAAATATTAAAAGGCTATCAAGCTCAGAGAAAGGTGATATAATATGATCAAACCAAAAAAAGTGAGACACTTTTTACAAAAACCTTAAAGAGTTTGTAAAAGTGATTTTGTAAATGTTTTTTAAAAGCACTGTGTGATCTTGTGACCCATAGCTCACAAGGATGTCACAGCTATTCAAGTATAAGTTGTGTGCATCTATTTTTTTGTTTGTTTTTTAAAAATGTATCACTTAGATTGTGGTGTACAAATAATAGATATTTGTTTAAAGGATATTTGAATGAAATAATTGATTATATAAAAAGTAATAAATATATCCTGGTACAGCTTTTCCACTTTTACACTAGCTTAATTCCACATTGAGAATTTTAAAATTTCATCATTATTTAATTGTGCTTTTTTACTAGTACATCATTTTATTAGAACAAATTATGTCTGAAAAATAAGACATTAAAAAATTATTTTTTGCCATCTCTCACATTATTCACACAGAACATACAGACTCTTTATGATTTCAATTTAGCAAATTGTATATGGTTTAATAATTGTTTAGTCTTTGAATTTGACAAACTAATGAATTAAATCCCATACCATAGACATCTAAACTCCAAAGGACAGTATGTAGCCATTACTTGGTCCGATACTAAATGAAAAAGAAAGGAATAACTGATTATCTGCCTTTGCTTATTTTATATCGGCATGAGGAGGAGAGTGGGAAGTCATTAGTGAAATAATTCACATTAAAACAAGATGATTTTTTAGTTTTATTTTTAATAGACATATAATTGTACATATACATGGAGTACATAGTGGTATTTTGATACATGTAATGTATAGTAATCAAATCAGGGCAATTGCTGTATATATCAGCTCAAACATTAACCATTTCTTTGTGTTGGGAACATTCAATATCCTCCTTCTGGCTATTTGAAACTATATATTATTGTTAACTATAGTCATTCCACAGAGGTATTGAACATTAGTACTTATTCCCTGTAACTAGCTATAATTTTGTACAAGATGATTTTTTAATGCTAGAAAAAATCCGTGGTAAAAACATAAATCCTAATTATAGATTTTAGTTTTAGTATTATATTATTTGACAATCATAACCTTAGAAAATACTCAATTTTTAATTTAGATATGCATTAGAGTTTGCTTTCTGTTACCTTATTATTTATAGCTAGAAAATAAAAAGATCACACCATGCTCTATTGAAGCAAAGATCTAGAAAGTGACAAGATTTGGATTGTATAATATTTATTTATTATAGCTATTATACTTATTTTATAAATATCAGAATTAAGGCTTTGAAATATTAATGCATCCAAGGTCACAGAACCAGTAAGTAGTATTTATAGTTTGGTGGATTTGTCCTATCAAAGCCATTTTTCCTTTTTACAGACCTTTTTAACCCCTAAGTTGCACTGTCTATACTCTGATTTCATAATTCATATCTATTCTCTGAATTCATAATTGAAATAATAACCTTACTTGAAATTTTACATTTTCTGCTGAATTCTGTATATGATAGATTATTTATATAATCTTATGAGACATATTTATAAAGACATTAAAAATCGACCAAACTTAAGAATATATAGAAAGGTAATTTGAATGTTATCAACTTTTCAGAATGGAAGCTTTTATCAGTTTATCATAATAGCAATAGTGCATTCAAGTCTTTTCCTGTATGTAGCACATTTTATTCTTTTATCACTCCTTCAGACGTGGAGTTAGATACTGATTTTCACATGAGGAAAATGAGGTGGAGAGAGTGGTTTGGTTTCACTTCTGTGTGCTTTCCCTATGGGCCATACTTCCTAGGATGACATTCTATTATTGCAAATCTGTGCTATCAATTTACTGGATTACAAAGCTTTAAAGATGTGGGTAGCTGGATGCTATAACACTACTCAGAACAACTGCTTGAATGGAGAAATATGTATACTTTAACACTGACACTTTTAAAAAAAAGTGAGTGTATTTCATGAGATGAATTGTCTGTCTTATATGCAATTGCAAATCATTTCCATTTCATCAGATTCAGAATCACATTCAAAGTGATTTTGAATACAAACCAATATTGGGCAAGTAGCGGATTATGTTAAATTGTAGGGGCAAACTGAGAAAGCCGAGCTGTGATTTGAGCAGCTGTGCTTTCATGATTTAAAATGCTAGTTTCTTATGGAACAATTCTTATTTCCTCTGAAACTTTGATTATATATACATTCATCCCTCTTGGTTTTAGCATCACAAATCTGGTTTGGAATTAGGGATTTGTTTTATTGAGAATAATAAGAAATTTACATATAAGAGTTTTGATTTATTATAATATATGATTATATAATTTATCATATATTCTATTATGTTATAATTTGGGCTTTTAAAATAATTTTCTGTTTAAAAATCTCTCACAAGCTCTTTCTTAAGACACCTTTATTCATCTCTGCAATTAGCAGCACTAGTTTCAAATCTTTGGCAAGTGGATAATTTCCAAATTTCATGTTTCTCTTTCTGAATTGTATTCTGAATAACTTTAAACACTTGTCTTTCATAAAAAAATGAACTTCTTCATCTTCATTTTTAGGAAAAACTATTAAACTAAAAGATCTGACAATGTAATACTCAAATGAGTTTAGAGAATTTATGGCTTAATGAGTCTGAATTCTAATTTACCTTTTACTTCAAGCTTAGCTACTGTTTTTGATTAATATGCATTTTGTACATTAGCTGCCTCCTTTAATCTCCTGTCAACTTTATAATAGGTAAGTGATACTCCCTCACCCCCTACTCTATGATACATTTAAAGAAAGATAAAAAGTCAATTTAGGCTTTTCTAAAAACGACCATTTTGGAATAAAGTTTCTGAATTGCTTTACATTTGTATTACTAGACATAATTTCTGACATGTACGTATTTACTGAAGATGTACTGAATTCAAAGTAGTCATTATATGTCTAGATCAGGTTAGCACATTAAAGACTTTATGTATCTGCAACCATAGAAATCACAGTATCTCCAAACGAAAACACTATCTCTAAGCAATTCAGAACTCATATTCTAGCATGGTAGTGAGCAAAGCTGCTCTTACGCCTTGTTTTTAACATATGTTGGAGGTCTCAGGGAGTGCAATAAGGCAATAAATAAATAGATAAACAAACAAATAATAGACAGATAGAAAAGGAAGAAATAAAAATATGTCTCTCTTCATAGTGGATGTGATATTTTATATAGAAAAATCCTGGCCAGGCACAGTGGCTCACACCTCTAATCCCAGCACTTTGGGAAGCTGAGGTGGGAAGATCACTTGAACCCAGAAGTTCAAAACCAGCCTGGGCAACACTGTGAGATCCCATCTGTACAAAAAATTTTAAAAATTAGCCTGGGTTGGTGGCATGTGCCTGTAGTCTTAGTTACTCAGGAGGCTAAGCCAGGAGAAGATAGCTTGAGTCCAGGAGTTTGAGGTGACAGTGAGCTCTAATGACACCATTGCACTCCAGCCTGGCCAACAGAGTGATACCTTGTCTCAAAAAAAAAAGGCAATACTAAGTGCTGTTGGTGAGGATGCAAAACAGCTGCAACTCTTGTGCATTGCTTGTAGGAATATAAAATAAGATTTTGAAATATAATTTGGCAATTTCTTTGAAAGTTAAATTTACATTTACCATTTACCACATTTAAATTTACATTTACCATAATGTAAACCATAATTTACATTTACCAAATGTACATTACCATTTACATTTATCATCAATTTCACTGTTAGTTATTTGTCTGAGGGCAATGAAAACATATGTTCCAAACAAAAACTTGCACACAAATGTTTATGGTAACTTTATTCATAATATCCAAAATTCAACCCAAATACCTATCAATAGAAGAATAGATAAACCAAATGCGTTATAACCAATACAAGGAAATACTATTTAGTGATAAAAAGGAATGAATTACTGATACTTGTAACAACATGGATAAATCTCCAAAACACTGTTGAGCCAGTGAAACTAAACACCCTACGATTCCATTTATATGAAACTCTATAAAAAACTAATATAGGCCCAGGGTGAAGATGATTCACTGGAAAGGAATACTAGGAAATATTTTGGGTTGATGAAAATGTTCTATATCTTCACTGATGTGATTACAGGTTTATATATTTGTCACAGTTATTGAAGTGTACATTTAAAATAGATGTATTTCATTGTGTGTAAATTATACCTGAATAAAGATGAAAAATGATGGCATTTTTAAATTTTATTTATGATTGATTCCCAAAGGAAGATAACTTAAAAGATAAATGAACACCCAAGCATAATTTCAATATAAGTCATGTTTGAAACTATATAAAAGTATTTCTTAAAAGACAGATACTTACATATAAGTATAAAAATTTTGATCTTCAGTGTATTTGTGCAGAAAATGGTGGTATATTTCATTTAAAATTGATTAGTGCAACATTGTAATCAGAGGAAAGTATCAATTAAGTGTAGAAACAAGATTAAATGAAGAGTCACATTCGAAATAATAATGTTAAGTGATGCTTAAAACTACATCCTGGAGACAGACACATTATTTGTTTTTTTAGAAAAACAGAGCCACATATTAGTGCGAAAGATATTTAAAAGCAAATATTAATTGGTAGAGCAAAACCCATTCTGTTGTCAAAGATGTATCATACCTGACTATAGCTTGCAATAAGGAAATGTCTTGGATTCTTTTAGGCTTGCTTTCTTACAGGAATTAATATCAACGGATATTTCCTATTTTCTCTTTATTTCTTGAACCACACCCTTTCTCGTATTACCCTTTTTCCCAAAAGAAGAAGTGAATGAATTCACCACCTCTTGTTAGATTATCATTTCAAAAACAAAATAAAAGATTCTACCTGTTTCTCCTTCTTTATCTCCAAAGTTATATATTTAACTTTATTATGCTGTACCTCAAAATGGTTTTTAAGCAGTTTTTACATTATAAAGAAGATATTATTATGGAAATGTTTCTTAAGTTCAGTGGTACAGGACATCATGAATTTGTTCCCATTTTATAAGGCATCAAAACAGTGTAAAGTACTGCAGAATGGATTACATCTGTTATGTCTTCTCTCAAAGTGATAATTTTTTAATGATCTTTTACTTTCTGTCCATTTCTTTTCCTTCACGAGCTTTGTCCACGACAATCACTTTAATTGCTCAGCTAACCTTTTCTCCCACCCAGGCACATCATGTGAAGTCCATAGGTGATGCTACTTTTTTGAGGCTCGACGAACCCTGCTGAGATATCAAACCTGGTTACTTTTCTTAGCACTCCTTTTTGCTAGTAAGTCTTAACTTTATTAATCCCCGTTAACCTTTCCACAGCTTCGTTATGGGGCGAGAGAAGCCAGGACACATGAGCGAGGTCGCCCAGTTGATCAGCCAGACTCTGGAACAGGAGCGTCGCCAGAGAGAGATGATGGACCGTCAGTACACCCAGTATGACGCCGATGACGATGAGGTCAGTGGAGCTTGCAGATGTTCTTTTTCCTACGTTTCCTGCTTTATGAAACTCTCTCTCTACCACTTACCAGTGTGACAGGTTTTCTGCAGTTTCTTAAGTAAGCTATGTCTCCATTGAAATAAAGTATTCAACCTCACAGAAAAGAAATACTACTTGCATCTGATATTAACTTACAGATCAAGTCATGGTATCCTCTGTGCAGTAAGAAGACTGGGAACAAGTCTTATCTATTACCACACGATCATAAAGACATTTGTAGAAACAAAAAAAGATAAAAATCCCAAAATGTGAATAGCGGCTATCTTCATTGTTGGGATTAGGTGATTTTCTCTTTCTGCTTTATAGTTTTTCAATCTTTTCCAAATGTTCTACAATAAGTATGTGATGCTTTTTCAAAAAAAATGAGTAAACATTTTAAATGAAAAAACACACCCATACGTGCACAAACGTAAACAGAAAAGTACTAAAGATTGCTGAGTGTTTCCAGAGGTTTTTTTTTTCCCCCCAGGAAGAAAAAATTCTTTGGATCTGTTCACTATGATTTGTGCTAACATAATGCAGAACAAAGCTTTTCCACTAGCACATGTTCCATAGAGTAGATACATATTGGAATAATTTTACATCCTGCTCTCTGTGGAAGATCAAGTAAATGAATAGAAGCTAACCCCCAAGTGAAAACAGCTCTCCGGAACCCTGTGTGTTGTAATGTAATACAGATGCTGGTCTATTTCTAATGTCATTGCCAAATGTACATTGATATAATGAGACAACATGCTTTATTATAAACATGTTTAAACATGCGTATGTTTCATATTGGCATGTCAAAAGATCCATCAACAATTTAGTTGTAGTATTTCATACTCCATAAACTAGTAAATATTCAGATAAAACAAATACTCTTCTTTATACCAGCTGATGAAAGCACAGTGAAACTTCATGTGTTCAACCCCTACTCATCTGAATATATTTTTTTTCAGAACTGTTTTTGGTTTCTAGCTAGGACTTAAAGAAGATTAATAAATGGACATTCACATATTTTCCATGTATTCTAAGCTGTGATGTTTTAATCCAAATGTATATTAAGTTTTCATGGGTATGCAGTATAATAAGGATATATTCCCCATTTACTGCAGTAGAAAATTAGAAGTGGTATATCAGTTAACTTTTGATCAGAGAATAATACATTAGAAAGCCTTTACATGAATAAATTAGTCTCTTAGAATTCAATTTATTTGATTTAGTTTTTCATTTGCAGAGTCAATTTGAAATGGCAGGTATTTTTTCATTATACTGAGATGCTATATATGAAAATATATTATCTTGGATTTTCAAAGTAAAAAAGCAATTTCTCCAAATATTTGAACTTGCATCTTACCTAGTTTTTAATTCTCTGCCTTAGTATTTTGTGTTTTATCAGAGACATTTATTTGCTTTGGCTGCAAGCCTATTGTAGGATTGTAGAATCATCCTCTGCAGGTTTGGTTTTTACCTCTTCACTGCCAGAAAGAGTTCAGACCTGAGGTTCAGGGGTGTACGGTGACATCAAGTGGTGGAAGGGGAGGAGGCCAAGCTTTCTAGCACATTAACTGCCATGTGAGTTATATTTAACTCCTGCTAGTTTTGAGCACAGGGCCTGTGAAGCATATGTAACTCACATGTCTCTTTAGCTTGGGAGCTGCATGGTGCACAGGTGACTCACGCTGCTGTGCTGTAGAATCCATGTTGCATGACAGGTGGCCCCCTAGGCAAAACCACAGAAAACAATAACAATTTTTTTTATTAAATTAGAAAGGACTATGTTGTTTTCAAAGTTTTTATTTTATTTTCTTAATAAAACACTGGCCCCAAGAAAAAAATTTTTTTTCTAGTGTAGCAGACAATGTGCTAGTCTCTGTGCCTCAGTGTCTCTGGCTTTAAAGTTTAGGGATTGGGCTAGTTGTCTAAATTCCTTTTAGCTTCTAACATTCTGTGAGTATGAAATAAGACATTAAGTCTAACAAGGAAAGGGGGAAAATAAAACAGTCAGATCTTTAAGTCACCCCAAGTCAAATTTTTAGATCACATACCACATACTTCCTCCAGTTATTTTGAGGAGTTGATCACTTTCATCCCCAAAAGTTGATATAAGATTTCCTTTAATTGGATGATTTGAGTAAATAGGAAAAGAATATTTGTTACTCAACATTTCGTATAGCAAGGAACATATCCTATACCAAGTGGAAGATTGCTTATGAGTTTTTCTGTTTTTGCAAAGAAATCAGAGTTCATTGTCACTTGAGCAGATGTTTTTAGGACTAAGGGGCATTAGTAAATATTCAAGGCCAGGCATTTTGCAAGGTGCCTTTCCTATGCAATCTCATTTAATCTTTAAAACAACTTGAAGAGATTTTCTCTTTTTTTCCCCCTAGAAGTACATCAACTGAGGGTTTTTTGCTAGTGGTACAGCTACTAGTTGGCAGAGTTAGAATTGGAATAGAGTCTTGGTAGCTTCAAAGCCTGGACTCTGCAACACACTGTGCTGTTTTTTAATGCAGTGGCCGAAATAACTCCTGCTAGGTCTGTCTGTATTCAGGCACACACAGAATAACTGGGTAACAAAATATGTCAAGAGGATTCCTCTTTTGGGTGATGGAGATTCTTATAATACTTAGGTTCTATGACTCTTTACTCTATATTTCTAGTAATAGGGAAATCAATTCCTTGGAGAATTTTTTTACTCTAGGCAGCAGTCCTTAAGAAGAGTCATCTTTATAAGGTTTAAAGAGGAGAATAATTGAGTACACAAATATTTTACCAAAAAATTAGATTTTAGCTTTAAGTTAAACTTTTTCTTCTTTTTTCAAGTTGTACAAATATAAACCAGGTGCTTGCTACTATGTTAGTCCAAGTAACCCTCAGTTTATTGAAAAAGTCAAGGAGCCTTCTCCTTTGTATCTCTCTCCCATCCTGCTCTCTGACTTGTCTTTTCTCCTTTTCTTATATTTTACATACTGTCTCACCAAAACATGCCCAGGTAAAACCAACTGTTAATTTTCTGTGATTAACAGAGATAAAAACTGTCAAATAATGAAAAGGTGTTCCAATGTTAAGATATCAAATTATCACTTAATTCAAATTCTTTTTTTTACTAATGCTAGCAAATATTATTAAATTGATTGATTTGAGTGTTATCTCCCTATTTTCTATTTATACTCACTCTTTGTTAATGAAAAGTAAATGTCCAAGAGGCATAAAGGAAATGAGAAAAACCAGTATTGGATATCCAATAGATAATTGGTCCTTGAATGAGTTAAATTCATATGTAATTGAACAATTTATTGATTTATATATCCTTGTTAGATCAGGCTGTGGATGTGTGTTAATCGGTCACTTGATTTCCTTTCTTTATAATTTATAGAATCATCTTGTGATTTTAAAGTTAGAATCATTTTTATTTGACAATATCCCCTGTAACATTCCTTGGACCAGCCAGGAAAACCTCTAATTAGATACAGAACAACTAAGTTCATCCAACTGATTTCCAGAGCCAGCCCTTAGATCAGCATTGACTGCTGCAGGATAGATAGCTTCTGTTTTTGATCAAATAACCCAAGGTTGACTGTAACTTGGAACGTGTCACATTGAGCTAAAGGGGAGTTGCTTTCTTGAATTGGCTACATGGAAAATATTGCAGTGTGAGAAATATATCCTGAAATTATAAAAGTATAGCAGTTATCTAAGAACTATATTGAGAAAAAAACATTTTACCATGTATTGCTTATGCTTACATATATATTTTTAAATGCTTTAGGATACTGTAAGGGGTACCATAATAAAATTTGAACTATATATATAATTTTAAAACTCTATTTAAATTTCTGCTTTTTCTGGTTTTTCTTCAAATATTCAAACTAGAAGACTTTAAAATAAGCAAACAGCCATTTCCATTTTAATACACATTTCCTGTTTCTGCTCACTCTCTGTTAAATGTTGTTATTTTTTAAAAAAATTTAGTGGCTCTGCCTATAAGCTAAAAAGGAAGATCCTATAAAGAAGGAAGAGATGAAAATCTGAACAACTGAAAAATTTTAAATGTATATATGAATATATCTGTGATTAGTGATTGCATTTCTGGATTTAATAGAATTATTATTCATTTGTTTTTGTTTTTCTTTCTCTTTTTCAACAATCTGAAAGGTAACCATGGAGGATTTCAGTAAGCTTCTGAGATAGTCAGTATTATCTCACAAAATCTAGGGGTATGGTAAATTTTTCAACTAGAATTTAATTTTTAATAATATTTACTCTTTTGTCATACTCCACTACTATCAATGTTTAGCCTTTTAGTAGTATGATGATATAATTCTGGTATTATTTTGTGTAGTATATATATGAATTGTGAGTATCTTTCTATCAAATAGCATTATGCAATTTGAAATGTTGTAAGTTCAGACTGGAAATACAAATAAAATAGATATGGTCATGATCTATTTTATACGCATTTTTAAAATTATGATTATTTGGCTTCCTTAAAAATCCTTTTAAGACATAATATTCATTGTATTGTGAAAGTCTTAGAGTATAGATAGCATTTCAAAGTCTCTTTAGACATTTGTTCATAACAAGATTAATTGTTACTCTAGAAACTGAAGCCCCTTCTCTCTTAAGATATCTTTCTTTCATAATTTGTTTTCATTACTGGAAATTAATATCATTATAACAACATTATAGCAACATTACTTTATAGAACTTTTATAAGTATTAAATACAATTTATAGCAGCTACCTACATGGATATGGATTTTTATTGCTTGCATAAACATGTAATAATTAGAGGCAAAAATATAATGGAAGCTATGGTTTGCGTAAGTATTAAAAAGTTTACAAGGATATAATTTTTATGTGTCAAGCATTAAAGAGGTAACATTAAATTTGGCTCAAACTATTTGCTGTTCCTGGTTGGAAATAGCTTGTGTGTGTGAAAAAGAGATTGCAATTATTATGGATGGCCTTTTAATAATGTGAATTTAATAATGTAAATTGCCTTTATACTATGTCTATACTATTGAGAAACTAAGAGTAAAAGCATTTTTACGAGGTGTAGCAGTATTCTCTTAGTACTCGCCAGTGTGTGTTACAACCAGCACCAGGATTTCAGTGTTTTATCCTATGCCTTATTATTAGGCTGCTCTCTTTAGTGGGGGGAAAAGCCTTCTTTAATTTTTTTTGTCGACCATTTTAGAGCACTGTGGCTGAATTGCAAGGAGTGTCTGGCAACTGCAATAACAATAACAACTATTTCCTTAAGGTTTGTTTTTGGTAGAAAATAATGCTTGTTTGTACTTTCCTGCTTCATATGTGAAATTAAATATTCTATGCATCTTATTAACAATCTCTATATCTGAAGAGCTTCTCGAGAACAGTGTGTTTTGTGTGTTAAATAATAGTTTAAAAAATAATCACTTGAAAAAATATTTAATTGAGAAACATAGCACATATTTTTAGGTATAGTTTCTGCAATTTTTACTCATTTCTTAATATTTAGCCATGGATGTTTTTTAACCCCTAACACTGTAAATATTTTGTGATTGAAATTAAAGAGAAAAAATAATCATATCCAACAGGAAGGCTATAGGATGTTTACATAATACAATGTACATAGTGATTTTTATTGCCTTTAAATTTAGGGGTTTTTTTAGAAAAGAATCTTTTGATACAAGGTTTTTGATTTTTCAAAACACTAAATGCATATATCTTTAAATATCTTTAAATATATGCATTTAATAATATAAATGCAAATATATGGCAATGTTTATTTGCATGACTTATGTGGTAGACATACCAAAATGTCTAAAAAGGCATTATACTTTAAATACCAAAATAATCCTTATTATCTTTAGTTGTCAATAATAGAGATAGCAGAGCTTAAAAATGGAGGTCAGATGTGTGTAAAAGTTATACTGGCTTAGGGTGATTAGAGGAGCCTAAAGAATAAAAGAAATATAAAATCTTTCTAACAGCTTATTCACAGACTCAAAATTTTTTATTTTATAAACTTTAATTTTTATAGCTTTTGACTCTTGTAATAGCACTTAGCTTAAAACACAAACACATTGTACAGTTGTACAAAAATATTTTCTTTCTATCCTTATTCTATAAACTTTTTTCTGTTTTTAAATTTTTTTAATTTTTATCTTTTTACTATTTAAACTCTTTTGCTAAAAAGTAAGGCATATACACAGCAGCCTTGGCCTACACAGGGTTAAAATCATTAATATCACTGTCTTCCGCCTCCACAACTGTCCCACTGGAAGGTCTTTGAGGGCAATAACACGCATGGAGCTGTCACCTCCTATGATAACAATGCCTTCTTCAGGAATACGTCCTGAAGGACGTGCTTGAGGCTGTTACAGTTAACTTTAAAAAAAAAAATAAGTATAAAGAGTATTAGGATAAAAATATCCTATAGTAAATTCATAAACCAGTAACATAGTTGTTTTTTATCATCATCTAGTATTATGTACTGTGCATAATTGTACATGCTATACCTTTATACAACTGGCAGCACATTATGTTTGTTTATACCAGCATGACCACAAACATGTGAGTAATGCGTTGAATTACAATGTTTTGACCACTACAATGTCACTAGGTGATAGAAATTTTTCAGTTCCATTATACTTATGGGACTGCCATTTTTTATAAGCTTCATTGTTGACCGAAACATCATTATGTGGCGCATGACTGTATATAAAAAGTATTTTTATGAGCCAATAGAAATGACTACACATGAGCCCTTGGTTTGAACAGGCAAGTCACAGAAGAGGAAACCTTGGGGGCAGATGATGCCCACCACATTAGTAACCAGGAAGTGAAAATTAAATGCCAAAATGAAATACCACTTCAAACCTACTGAATTGATTTAAATCTAAGGTTTTAAGTTTCAGTGAGGATATGGAGTAAGGGGAACCCTTATCCTCTGCACAGAGGAAAATAACTCAACCACTTTGAAAGACAATTTGGCAGTGTCTAATAACATTGACTCAACAATTCTATTTCTTGCTAAACACTCTAGTAAAACTCTTATATACATGACCCATAAGACATGTATAATATTGTTCTTGTAGTAGAAAAAATTGAACACATCTAACATCTCTATCAGCAAGAGAATGAGTAAATATATTTTGGTATATTTATACACTGAAATAATATACAGAAGTGGTTTCAACAACCTACAACAACTGGTGGAATCTCAGGAGTAAACATTTAAAAGCAGAAAGGCATAGAAGAATACATATAATAGGATTCCATTTATATAAAGTATAAAATCCTGAAAAATAAATGATACATTGTTTGGTTATATAAAAATAGAATAAAACTATTTTTAAAAAGCCCTAAGAATGGCAAAGTATAGCAGAATTACTTCAGAAAAGTAAGCGACTGAAATGGAATCAAAGAGGCACACACATAGGACTGCAATTAAAATGTTGTGGGACTCTTCCTTTCCTTGAACTAAGTTGTTTATTGATGGTTCTTATTCATTATGTTTTTTATTTAATAAGTAGTCTTTATGTCAACTCAGTATTTAATAAAATTTAAAATCTGCCATGTACAATATCTTATATTTAGCAATAATATGGATATAAAATCACTATGACATAGCTCCTGCTCTCTGAGGATTTATAAAATGGCTTTAAAACTCTGTGCCTCCAACTTGCCTCAATGTGAAAATCTCATGATACTTCTTTAAAAACATGGATTTCTCCAGCTAGCCTCAGAACTACTGAATCAGAATGTATATTGTAGGGGGCCTAGCCTGTGGAAATTTGTAGGAAGGGGTTAGATGCAGTCAGAGCTGGAGTTGTCCAGTTTAAGGATGCCAGGAACACTGAAATAAAGATCTTTGAGTCCTCGCATTGCAGACACTCTGCAAGAAAGAATTTTTGCCGCAAATCACGAGATAGCCATGTGAGGAAAGGATTAGACTTATATCCCCTGGAAAGAGATTGTAAGATTGAGATTATATATCTTTTCATTAATCTATAGATAATCCATGGAATACCACCAATGACATTTTTGTTGGGTTTACTTTTTTATACTTTAAATTCTGTAACTATAATTTCTGGTTGTATTTGATCATCTGATAGCATTTTTGTAATTATATGAGTCAGTTTTTATATGAACATACCATATTTTTCAAGATTCAATTAGTTGTATAATTATAGATTTAGTAAAATAATAACACATGCCCCTTCTGTCACCATAGTTGTCCTTTTCTACAGATTAAAAATTTAGGGAAATACAAATCTTAGTCTCTTCCCACAGTTCTACTGGCATCAGAATAAGTGCTTCATTGTCTTCTTGGCAAGTAAAATGAAACTCAAGGAAGACTGCCAGTTTGAAATTGCAGTGTGACATTTGAATTATAGAGGTCTGCTTTGGTCTTTTTCCCATCTCAGTGGGAAAAAGAGAAATCATTGGTTCCCTCCTCTTATAGAATATATTTATCAGGGACTTAAAGACAATAGCATTTATCTCTTTGTAAGTAGGTAACATTTATTAAGTGGAATTGAATTAAGAATATTGAGTCATGGAAAAATATATTTTATACTTGCAGGAAGCTTGCTATTTTGCTGTGGAAATAATAAAAATATACAATAAAAAATTTAAATCCTTTTCAAGGCAACCTGTCAAAAGGTCCAATAACCATAGTGTAAGAGAATCATCACAATTAAGGGCATATAAAACCACGAATTTGGAAGTTCCTGGCTTTCAATTTTTATTTGCAAGGACTTTTTTTTTTTTTATTGTTTTTGTTTGTTTTCTATAGCACAAGTAGATGGGGTAATATATACGGTGTTCAAGAAATAAAAAGACTAGATTACCTCCAGAACGGAATATATAGAAAGCAATAATGACCAGAAAGTCTCTGAAAAGGTAAATTGAATAATAGTGTTTAGATCTTCTAAAATCAGCTGAGTTTCTAGACATTTTTTTCCATTAAATAATTATTGAGAATTCTCTACAAATCTCTCACATTTCTGAGGCACTAACTGTCCTTTGTCCTAGACTGCCTAAATGTTTGTGTAGTGAACAGCCTTAGAAGATACAGTTTTTTCCTTTCTAGCAAAGGGCAGTAGTACTTACTGCCTGTCATAAAAGATTCAGGTTACCTAATCTCTGGGCTCCTCTCCTGATAGTCTACATGTGTCAAAGTCATCTGGCCTTCTTCTCATTACTCTTTAGGAACCAGTACAAAATGATAGTACAGTAGTACCCCCTTATATGTGGGTTCACTGTCTGGGGTTTCAGTTACCCACAGAACAGGGCAATAAGGTATCTTGAGAGAGAGAGTGCAAGTCATGTTCACGTGACTTCTTACAGTATGTTGTAATTGTTCTATTTTATTATTGTTAATATCTTACTATGCTTAATTTATAAATTAAACTTCATTGTAGGGAAGTATGTATAGGAAAAAAATAGTGCATATCCAGTTCAGTACTAGCCATGGTTTCGGGCATCCACTTGGGGGTGTTGGAATGCATCTCTCATGGATAAGGTGGGACAACCATAGTCTGTTTAAACTAGTATGAAGACATCCTGGGTTAGAGGACAGCTCTGTGCCCACACCTGCACTGAACACGAAAGGAAGGAGTGTCAGTCACTGTAATCAGAAGCCTCGTAAATCCTTTAGAACTTTGGCTGGTTCACTGAGGAGAGGATGAGGCTGTGTGTGTGATGCTAGTTAAGGAAGAATAGCAACAGTTGGGCTGCTTTTTTACTCAACCCCTCTTGCAGTCTCTCATATCTGTCAGGCCAACTTTCGATTCGTTCTGACAATGAAAGTTCTCGCAATGTTCTTTGCAGTGGCTCCTGGCTGCTATAAGGGAATAGTGGCCCTGTCAGGGAATAGAGAAAGACCAACTCCTGTGGGACAACCTAGAAGAGGATTTGGGCCCTACCTGTCTTGGACTGAGCTTTAATGTTGTTGATGGTAATTCACGGAGAATAAGAAGCTGTCCCAAAACAGTCCCAAGTACATCAGATAAATTCTTGTGGTTAGCCTTATCATCTTGGAACATTCTCCTATCCTTTATGTTAAAACCATGTTTCCCCCATGAATATGTACAAATATTATGTATCAATAACAAAATTAAAAAAAAAACAGATTTAAAGACATGTTATCATGATAACAGAGCAGCAAATGCCGCAGGTTAGGGTGAACTCCATAAGAGTTCCTACTGTGGAAGTCAGGGTTGTAATTGCTGAGTCAAAGATTCCCCAAAGCTAACCAAATGGTGTCAGTCA